TCCGACGTCTTGCACAAAAATCAAGGCGGAAGCTTTTGGATATGTTTGGCCTCCAGAGGCCCTCGGCGGGCCCCGGGGCCGCCAAGAAACGAGTCAAAATGAAAAACCGATCCCGGGGGCGGCCCCCCGGCCCCCGGGGGCCCACGGTGCCCCAGAAAAAAAAAAAAAACGACGTCGGATGTCTACGGAAGTGGCCCGGGACCCCGCCCTTCGTTCCCTTCCCTCCCCCCCCCGCCCTCCCCCCCCCCCGCTTCCGCCCCGCCCCTCCCCCTGGGGGCTGTTTTTTTTTGCATTCGGCCATGGCGCGCGTTATCGGGCCCGCCCCCCCCCCCCTCCTCCGATAACGCCGCGAATTCGGTCGCGCAGGTCCGGGGGGGGGGCGCCGCAGCAGGGGGCTCACAGAGAACGCCGGATTCTAGTGCATGCAAGCCTCGTGGCGCAAGATGGCGCCACAGCGCCCGCAATTCACGCGGTGCACGCAGGCGTTGTTGTGCGCGTAGGTTTTGTGACGCGCGCAAACTCCCGCGGGCGCAACCGCGGCGCCGCCGGTTCGGCGAAATTCCCGCCGCAGCTCCCGCCGCCCTTCCGCCGCCGCTTCTGCCGCAGCTTCCGCCGCAGCTCCCGCCGCAGTTTCCGCCGCTTTCGAGGCGCAGGTGCAGGGGGCCATCGCTGGCCCGTCCAAGAGGCGGCGAAGGGGAGATGCTCCCGCGAGGGCAGCTGCGCTCCACCCAGTTGCGCGCCCTGGAGAGCGCGAGGTGGACGAGGTCTTCACAGAGCTGATAAATGCCCCCATTGCGGCGTCAGCAGGAGCCTCTGCGATGTGCCATCTGGAATGGCGCGACCAGAGGCGGAGCGCCGATTGCGCGCCTGGGCCGCGCGTCGTCGGTCGCCCCGCGACCCTGACGACCGCAGACGGGTCGGCGGCAAACTGTTGTGGGATATGTAGATGCGGGATATGTAGTTTCCACATGCGCCTGCGGATTCCCGCAGCCAAGCCTTCAGCCTGCCAGGCCTTCGGAAAAAATGTTGCACAGCGCCCTTCTGGAGGCCGCGAAGACCAACGGAAAGCCGTTGGAGACACCGTCAGTTCGCCGTCGCAGATGGCCCTCGTCGCCACGGTTGGACGCAGCGCGAAAATCGAACGCCGGTGAACCCCAGGACGAAGTCCGCGAACTGATTTCCATGAAGTTTGGCAGCGTAGGTGTTTCAATGGCTCGTTTCATGGCGCAGACTTATTTCCCTGGCCCCATGGGCCGATGGGGCCGCTGCACCCCGCGGGGCCATTTTGAGCGCACTGTTCCTCGAGCTCCACTTGGGGGTGGCGCGTTTGGGGGGGGCGAAAGTTGAGCGCGCTTGCTGGTGCGAGATTATCTTTTTGTTTCTCGGAAGGCGGCCTGCGCCTGTGATTTCCCCCCCCCGCAAGCTTCGCCCTCGCGGCAGTTTGAAAACCCCTCGACGTCGCTCTGGGTTGGCTTTAACTTGCGTCTGAAGCGGCCGGGGTCTGGCCGCGCGATTATCGGCAACTTTTCTCTCTAACTACTTCCCTGGGCCACCCAAAAAAAAACGATTCGCATTGTTTTTTTTTCCGGGTCGCCAGGCCTCCCCTTCCTCCGGGCGCTAGAAATGTTTTGAAACATACAAAGAAAACGAATCTCTTCACAAACCCAAGGAATGCGCCCCTGAAGGCAGGTCAAAATGACTCCCCCTGCGCCCACTGCCAGTTCCAAAATGGTGCGAAGACTGCCACAAGCAAGCCCAACATGACAGCGCGTGGCTTAAGACATCATAATAAGGCATCGGCATGGTCTGCAGGCGGTCCAAGACGACCCAAGATGGACCCAAGGTGGCTCTACACGGTTTCCGAAACGGCCCTAAACGCCCCGATGAAAGCGCAGAGGCTCCGCGAGAATTCCCCCGCGAGCCCATGGGAAACTCAAATCCTTTTAAAAAAACACAAAAAACATTTAATTATTGCTCCCCCGCCGCATCGCTGACGATAAACCTCTGCGATTCCAACGTGGCCCTCAGACGGTCCCACAAAATTCCAAGAGGAACCCCGCGCGCCCCGAGAGGCCTCCGCGGGGCGTCCAAGAGACCCCCGGAATCTCCGAGAGGCCCCCAGGAAGCCTCCACGAAGGCCTTAGAGGACCCCCAGAAGCTCCCAACAGGCTCCAGAATGGCCCCAGAAAAGGGTTCCACGAGCGCCAGAAGACGCCCGCAAGAGCCTCCCAATGCGGTCTCTGGAGGCCCCCAGGAGGGCCAAAGGTTCCAAGACTTTCGTCGGGAGGGCGGGGGGGGCCGGCGACTTGTAAAAACACATGATATTCTCACCCTTTTCAGGTGGCCAGGGGGGGCCTTGGAAAAACATTTTGGCGCCCACAGGCCCCCAAGAAAGGAGCCCCGCGTGGCGGTTCGTATTGATGTGGCGAGCAAAACCGCCGTCAGCAATTGCAGTTGGCGCCGCAATCTCTGCGTTCAGCTCCACGCGCCCAGTGCAGCACGATAGTAGCACGGCGATCGCCAGCGCGCTGCCCCCCCCTTTCGCCCCCCCTCCCCGCTGGCGAAACGCAAGTCCGACGCCATTGCCATGCAGTCCTCCTCCCTCCCTCCTCTCACCTCCCCCACACGAGCTAAAGAGGAGAGGGGGGGGGAGGGTTTCAAGCCCCCCCCCCCCCTTTGCACCAAGGGAGGGAGGGGGGGGGAGCTTCCAAAGCCCTCCCCCCTTTCAAAGGGGGGGGGGTGGCTCGCCCCAGCTCCACTAAAAGGAGGAGGGGGGGGGTAGCTTGGAAGCCCCCCCCCCCCCCTTTTCCGGCCACGAAAAGAGGGGGAGGGGGGGGGGTAGCTTCCGAAGCCCCCCCCCCTTTCAAAGGGGGGGGGTGGCTCACCCCGGCTCAATTAAAGGAGGGAGGGGGGGGTAGCTTGGAAGCCCCCCCCCCTTCCGGCTACGAAAAGGGGGGAGGGGGGGGGTCAGCTTCCGAAGCCCCCCCCCCCCCCTTAGCAAGGAAGGGGGAGGGGGTAGCTTCAAACTGGGGCCCCCCTTCTAGTCTGTCGTGCCCCACGAGCGCGCGATCTATCATATATATATATATATATATATATATATATATATATATATATCCCAAACACTCGATACCCGCCCACTTCGTTTTCGATCGTACCCCCCTTGGGGATATCTTCCCTACCTGCCGCGTTGAATTGGCGCAGACCCTAACGGGCAGGTCGGGCGGGCGGGCTCGGGCGGCCAGGTCGAGCGGGCGGGTCGCTGAAGCGTCAATCCATCATGAAGGAAATTTCGAACAATAGCGCGATTTTCCGGTACATCGGTTGCAAATCCAAAGCGAGAGCATGGGTTCTGAGTCTTGGGTCAGGGGCACAGCGCCGCAATAAATTCTGAGGAAGTCCACGGGAGAGCCCAATTCCTGCATAAAGTGTAAGGAAGTCCCGTGCGAAAGCGCGATCCCAAATAAACGGTGAGGAAATATCAGTCGGGCGCCGTTGTTGTCGTCGTCGTTATTGAGTACATATTTCTAAAGAGTAATCACTGTTGATCTCCGGAAACGGTTCCGCGCGCTCTTGCCTCGACGCCTGGTACATTTTCTCTGAAAGCGAGGCTCCTGCTCGAGCGTTGGCTTGACCCTAGAAGTGGGCCCCTGGAGGCCCAACTACGACAACAACGGCTTCCGCCCGATACTTCCTCACAATTTACCCCGAAACACCCTGGCCAAAGAGGCCTCCGAACTCAAGAACGGCGCTCTCGCTCGAGACTTTCCCGTAATTCAAGCAAGTTGGTGAACCCGGTCACGGCGACAAAGGCTCCCGTTCGATATTTCTCTATAGGTACTCCGGGAGCCCATGTCCAGAGAGGCCCCCGAACTCAGGAACGGCGCTCTCGCTCGAGACCTCTTCGCACTTCAGTCAGTGGCCGACAAGGAAGAGATTCCCCCCCAAAGGGGCAATCGAAGACGAAGTGGTGAGCGGGCATCGAGGGTCGGGGAGAGGAATGCAAGACACGCATGCCAATAAAAGCGAACAACATAATGAATGATTGCTGTTGTTGCTGCTGTTATCGTCGTTGGTGTTGTTGTTGCTGCTGCTGTTGTTGTTGTTGTTGTTGGTGTTGTTGATGCTGTTGTTGTTGCTGCTGCGGTTGTAACCTGGATCCACTGATAAAGCCATCCAGCCTAAAGACCCAACCATATGCGATTGTGAATATCGTGTTGTGGCACCGCTTTCGGTGGAGGTCCCCATGGGGCTACGAACCGTGTGACAGGTGCACCAAAAAGGGGCTGCGCTGCCATGTGGACCCTGTCACTGGGGCCTTCGGCTGAGATTCCTATGGGGCCACGAACCGCGTGAGGGGTGCGCCACAATGGGGCGGCGCCGCCATGTGAACCCTGCCACTGGGTCCTTCGGCTGAGCTCACTATCGGGAAACAATCGTGTGAGGGTGCGCCAAAATGGGGCGGCGCCGCCATGTGGACCTTACCACTGGGGCCTTCGGTGAAGCTCACTATGAGAACACGAACCGTGTGACAGGTGCGCCAAAAAGGGGCGGCGCCGCCATGTGGACCCTGCCACTGGGGCCTTCGACTGAGCTCCCTATCGGGCTACGAACCGCGTGAGGGGGGTGCGCCAAAATGTGGCGGCGCCGCCATGTGGATGGGGACTTCGGTTGAGCTCCCTACGGGGCCACGAAACGCTGCACTGGGTGTGCGAAACACGAACATGCGGAGGGCAGAGGCGGGGATGGGATGAGGGAGGAGGGGAAGGGGTCAGCGGGATGATGATGAGGAGGAGAACGCGGGGCGCTGTCACTTCAAAACGAAGACCCAATCCCACAGGATGGTTGGGAGAACCAGCTTGCGAGCCCCAGGAGGAGCACTTTTATTGAGCACGCGACCCACAAAACATATCTTCAAGGCAACAACAGCAACAGCGCAAGAACAGTCCGCACCGAGCCGCCCCGCGCCCCGGGACAGCGGACGTCTTCCCTCGTCGATCCTCCTCCGCGGTGCGCACCACGTCGCCGACCGACCACCGGCTCCGATCGAGGTCCTGCTCCGCGCCGCCGCTCCCGCCCAGGCCGAGGGCGTCCTCCGGGTGTTCGCCAACAGGGGGGCGGCAACGATTATTTTTTCTAATAGCCAGCATAGAGGACCACTTCGTGAAACATCCACCTGCTCGTGATAAGCACGTATACTGCGCTCGAGGGCTGACAGGGTCACTAGTGCCTCGCTGTCACGCCACAGAGCGTGATCCCACAATGGGTAGTATGCAGTCCCCCCGATGCGGCAACGAACCTGGGGTGAAGAGTCGCGCGCGTTCCCAGACCCCCTGCAGTCAGGAACAGCAGCACGACGGGCGACGTTTTGTTCTCTAACTTTCAGGCCTCCATGGAGGCCCCTGCAGGGCCTCGGGGCTGTCACAAGAGGCCTCCGGCTCCGAAACCTTTTCCCTGGGGAAGGGATCGAGAGCACTGCTCCTCCTCCTACTCCTCCTCCTCCTCCTCCTCCTCCTCCTCCTCTTCCTCCTCGGGGTCGACGTTCTGGACAAGATCATGACGTCGGGGGCCTGGGGGCGGTGCGCACTTCCTGCACCTTCTCGGGGCCCGCTGTGGCAGGCTAGGCCTGCGGGCCCCTTCGGGGCCACTCTCCTGCGGTCCTCGATCCCCGATGCCCCCACGCTTGCTTGGGCTATGGCTCCCCCGCTGCCGTTCGCTCGAGTCCTCCAACTCGGCCACGCCGCCGGCGTCCTCTGTCGCCTGCCCCCTCTGCTTGTCGAGCCAGCCGGCCTCCAGCTCCAGCGCCAGGTCCCACTGGCTGTCCTCGGGGGTGGGGCGAGCGACCCCCTCCGGCAATTGCGGCCGCAACCTCCTCCCCAGGTGTCCGACAAAGCAGTGGGAGCTCGACCGCAAGGAACCTTCCACGAGAAACCCAGCCCTGAGACCCCAGGACGTCCACTGATTCTTGATGTGGGAACGCCACGCTCTCCATAGCGAAACCATCGCAACCCAAGAACCTCAGGGCACCATGGAGGCAAGCCAGGTGCTTCTGGCCATGGGTGTCCACTGTACGGTGTTTGCCGCTGCTCGGCCCCAAAGGACCGGACCCCTTCCTCGGGAGTGGCCTTGTGCCCTGGACCAAGGTTGGTCGATCTGTTTTCCACCGGCACCACCAGAAGTAGGAGGGGGAGGGAGTCATCCTCCCCCTCTTCCTCCTCCTCCTCCTCCTCCTCCTTCTCCTCCTCATCCTCCTCCTCCTTCCCCCCTCCAACTTATGGTGGTGGTGGTGGTGGAAAACAGGCCCATCAAAGGTCTGGCGGCCCTGGGGCCTGGGAACGGCCCCCGAGCGCCGCAGTCGAGGAACCAACCGCTGCGGCACAGATCAGACCGTCGGGGATCTGGGTCGACTGGACTGACTGCTGCTGAAGTCCAAATCTCTATGAACTCACTGGCTTCACAAGCCGACTTCGGACCCCCGTCCGGAGAGACAAACTTCAGGCGGTGCCGCTAGGCCTCTTATGGTTTGCTACAGCTCCAGACCCCCGTCTGGAGATCGGCCCGTCTTGGCGGTCGCTGCCCTGCTAGAGCCGATGAGGTCAGCTGGAGTTGCCCAGCGGTCCCCCTCCATCGCCGCCGCACCCTCTCGTGACGCGGGCCCCAGGAGATCTCGACCTCTTGCCTGGCACCTGCTCGTCCTCCCGAATCGTTCCTTTGTCCGTCCTGGGGCCTGGCGAAGGCCCCCGGTAGCCGAAGACTAAAAAAAGCCTCCGTCGGGACTGGTGTCTCGACGAGAAAACGTCTGGGGAAACGAACAGAACACATACCAGCACTCCCTGGACTTCTCCCGGGGTGCGTCCTGACCAGGATTTCGAAAACAACTCAGCCGTGGCAGCGAGAGCTCTGCAGGATGAGCAGCGGCATCGGGACCTCTTCCTCCCCTGAATGCCTGGGAGCTGAAACCAGATCCGCTGTTCGGCCTGGACAGGGCGTTTTTTTTTGTCAGCCTCAATCATCAGCACCAGAGGGCCCGACCCCATCCCCAAGGGCAACTTTCCAAGGGCTCCTGATTTCGCGCTTCGCGCTGCGCGAGGCGCGAACAACTTCGCGCTCTCGCGCCGCCCCCAAAGGGGAGAAGAGGAGGACGAGGAGGAGGGGGAGGAGGAATGAGGCCCGCGGAGCGCGAAGTGCGACTCACTTCGCGCCCGCGTGGGAGCCCTTGCTGTCAGTGAGAGACGCATGGCGCTGCCACCAGCAGCTGGATTGGGCTCTCCGCCTTGGAGTGCTCTTCGTCTTGGACGGCTCCCTGGCCATCGCTCGGACGTCCATCTCCCGTGTTTTTTTCGGTTTCGTGCGTGGCTTTTTCGCCAAATGATCGAGGATGCTCCTCGATGGCCCTCGCCGAAGGAAACGTGCACACGTCCGAGCGATGCCAAGGCTCCGTGGGCCCCCGGGCCGTCGGCGCACGCGCCCGTGCTCTTGACCCACGCTCTTGCGGCCACGTGCCGACACGGGCAGAACAATCTCCATCGCGGACACCTCCTTGATTGTCATCACCAGCCTCGAACTTATCCCTATCCCTAAGATTGCCACGCCAGAAGGCGATGACAATCTCAGGGACGCGCCCTGAAAAACCAAGGGAATCCCCAGGATTGGCATTGTTGACTACCTACCAGACCACCCCAACCCAACCCGAAGACCCGAATTTCGGGTTGGGGGGGGTAAGGGTTCCACGCGTGTTTTTTCTATGTTTCCCGACCCCCCCCCTACTAGAAATCGAGGGTGAATCTGAGCCTTCGGGTTGAGTTGGGGTGGTTTGGTGGGTGGTGAATTGTGATGAGGCGATGCCCAGCTTTGGGGATAGGGATCTGCTCCAGGCTGGCACTGCCACGGGGCCCGAGGGCGGCCCCTCCTGGGAGGTCGAGAGGTACGGAGGCAGCGCCTCGGTTCACAATACCAGCTCGCCGGAAGGAGAAGAGTTGAAGAGCCTGAGAGCCGACGCCGCAAGGGGAACAGCAGCGTCGCAAAAAGACGCCTCGCCCAGAGCCTCGGAGCTCCTCTTTCTGCTGCAGGTCCGTGCCGTGTCGACCCTGGCGTTGGTTCCTGACACCGCGCTGGATCGTTCAATGTTGAACGATCGGCCGTCTCCGCAACGTCCGATCGTTCAACATCGACCGATTCTGGGCCGCCGTCGGCGTTCAACGTTGAACGTCGGCGGCGGGGTCGCCGCCGGTCGACACGACACGAACCTACCGTAGGGTATTTCTCGAACCGGACTTTCGGAGGCAGCTACTGCGTAGCTGCTGGGAGGTTCTCGTCGGAAAGACCAAGGAGGATTAAGCCCCCTTGGGGGGCTGTTACGCCAGATTGGGCCTCGGATCAAACGGGATTCAACTGGATTAGGCGGGATGAAACGGGATTGAGCCCGATTAAGCGGGATTAAGCGGGATTAGCCGGGATTAAGCCAGATTTCGGACCAGGACTAAATCAGAACTCGACCTCCCAGGAGTTGCATCCGAACAGATGGATCCGTGAGAGCACAAGGCAGGATCGCCCGTTGCGACGAAACCGCGAGGAGGGCCACTCCCAGGTCGACTCGCAGGCAGAAGCCATGCCCGTCTCCGCGGCCTCTCGCGGGACGGGCCCCCGTGCCCGTGGCCCCGCGGGATCCGTGAGCGCGGGTGCCCCGCGCGGAGAGTGCTCGTGCTGCGGTCGCCACTGGGGCTGCCAAGGGGTAGGGGGGGCCAGAACTCGGTCGGGCCTGTCCCCCTAGAGAGTGATTTTGGGCGGAAAAGTAAGAATAGTCAAACACTACTCCCCAAATGCTCCCAAGTAAAAGAAAAATCGTCCCCAGACTATGTTTTGACTATTTTTGAATATTCCCCCCTGTAGAGGGACAGGCCCGACGTAAGGCTAGAAGTCAGCGCCAAGGCAGGCCACGTGTGGCCAGACCTAGCCTACAGGTGGGTCACCAGTGCACTGAGCGATGAGGCCACTCCGCCACGTGGGCGGAGCCCACTGGGACCATTTCTGCATCCCCCCTGGACCACTTAGGGCATTGACAACCAAATGTTAAGCTATATTCGGCCAAGTATAACCCACCGTCGCATCCACTTTTCCCCCCCCCCTTCCCCTCAGCAACCCCCGCGGTCATTCGAGCACGACCGCGTGTGCGCGGGATCGTGCCCCAGAATCCAGACCGCCGGGGCGCGGATATGGACACGGTGAGGGCATTGAATCGGGAACCTTTTGATGAGGAGCTTATGGTCTGGAAGCTGGTGGGACACCAATTGAGGCCTGGCCATGGACATCGCCGCGCCCTCACCGGATCAGAAATCCTCTCGCTCCCGTCGTCGCCTCTGGTCCTTGCACGGTGGTTTCCCCCAGGGCCGTAGGCGACCCGAGGAGGAGGAGGAGGAGAGGAGGAGGAGGAGGAGGAGGAGGAGGAGGACGAGGAGAGGAGGAGGAGGAGGAGGAGGAGGAGGAGGAGGCGGAGAGGAGGAGGAGGAGGAGGAGGAGGGAGGAGGAGGGAGGCGGAGGAGGCGGAGGAGGAGGAGGTGGGGTCTGAAGACTCATGGGCACATTCCTCGACCAGCGCCCCAACCGGAGGCTCGCCCCTCGTGAGTCGACCTCGGCAAGGCGACGCTCCCCTCCCTCGCCAGACGTCCCGGACCGCGCAGCACCCCGCGAAACCCGCCCCCGACGACATCCTTCTCCTCCTCCTCCTCCTCCTCCTCCTCCTCCTCCTCCTCCTGTCGTCGTCGTCCTCCTCCTCCTCCTCCTCCTCCTCCTTGGGGGGAGTGGATTCCGTCCGCACCCCGAGGCGGTCCCCCTCCAGGGCCCGGATGCTCCGCTGCATCGTTCTCTCGTCGGGTTCCACCGCCTGCAGGCGGCGCGCGCCGCAAGCGGGGAGGGAGGCGAGGCTGAGATGACCCTGCCGGTGGCTGAGAGGATAACCTCAGAGCCCCGAGTCATCAGGGGTAATTCGGGTCAGGGCTAACTCGGGTTCGTTTTTCGGGAATCCGAACCCGAGTTACCCTGGACCTGAGTTACCCCGGATAATTCGGACGTCCAGAGCCCCATATCATCAGAGGCATTTTGGGTCAGGGCTAATTCGGGTTCGTTTTTTCTGGAATCCAAGCCCGAGTTACCCCGGACCCGAGTTACCCCGGATAACTCGGGCGCCCAATAACCAGGGGGCTTATCGGCGGCGGGCGAGGCGGGGGAAGGGAGAAAGAGAAGGCCTTCTCAGAGGACGGCGGGACTTCTCAGAAGCCCTCGCGCCTCCTGAAAGTGTTCTGCATCTTCGGGGAAGGCTTCGAAAGCTCCTGAGAAGGATGGGGGACTGCCGATCGTTCTGAGAAGGCCTTCTCCTTCTCACTTCCCCCCCCCCTCTCTGGCCAACAAGCTTAGACGCGGAGGCGAAGGTTGGCCATACCTGATCTGACCTGGCCTGTGAGCGGGTTGCTGACTGGTGGACACAAGTGGTGTCGGTGGGCTGGGTAGCTCCGCTGAGAGGGCGGATAGACCACTTCGCCCAGATAGCTAACCCTCCTGAACCACTCAGGGCACCTGGAAACCAACTTATAAGCGTGGTTACGCCAGATGCAACCCTCCTTCGCAGCCGCTTCCAAGCCCCATTATCGCATCAGCAACCGCCACGGTCATTCCAGTAATGGGGGGACTGTTTAGGGGGAGCGGCGAGCCCCAGAGGATCGAGCAGGGGAGGCGGGGCTACTCAGAAGGTTCAGGATACGCCACGAAAGTATATATACACAACCACCCGCCGACGAGAGCTCCTTGTACCTCCAAGGGATGGTGCCCGCATATAACATCGTCGGCCCGTAGTGGTGATTGATACACCGCCACCCTCGCCATGAGGCTTAGGCGCACCCTCGCCATGAGGCTCGGGAACGCTCCACTAGAGGTTGTTTGTGTATATGGTTGTGGCCGACAGAAGCTCTCCAGCCTTCTGAGAAGCTTTCTAGGCCTTCTCCGAAGTCGCAGGCGGCATCTCGTAAGGCGCGAGGGCTTCTGGGAAGCCCCGCCGCCTTCTGAGACGGCCTGCCCCCTCTCACTTCCCCCCCTGGGCGCGCCGCCGAGTTCGGGAGTTAGGGGGGGCACCAGCTCAAGAGGGGGGGCTCCATCAACCTGGAATCGGAGACACGTCTCCGACCGATCGGCAACTGGGCATCGCTCGGACGTCCATTCCCTGCGTTTTTGTTCGGTTTCGTGCGTGGTTTTTTCGCCCAATGATCAAGGATGCTCCTCGATTGTCCTCGCCGACAGAAAAATGCACACGTCCGAGCGATGCCAAGGGCACCATCAACCTGGAATCGGCGACACGCCTCCGACCGATCGGCAATCCTTGGCCCCCCGATGCCGAGACCGCACGCTCCCGGGCGGGTTGAGCTGTCGGGCCCCGCGGCGATGATTCGAGTGGCCGATGGGGGGTCGAGGCGTTCCCCCCGGAGCCCGTCCCCCCCTGGCGCTGTCCCCTGGCTTGCGGGCCGTCGCTCGGCGCTCGCGGTCGTCGGGTCGGGCGAAAGGGGGGGATAGCACAGGGGGGGTTGAGAATCAGCTCACGTAGAAGATTTTCCCCGCGCCTCCCGGCGCCGGGAGGCGCCCATGTATCGAGGAATGGGCCCGGCGGCGGGGCCGAAACCAGCTGCATGCAGCAGATTTCGTAACCCCCCCTTTCCCTATCCCCCCCTTTCGTTCGGCTCTCGAGGTCGGCCGCTCGGGGTGACTCCGGCTCCCCCTGGAACGCCCCCGACGAGGCGCAGCCGATGAGACCACCCCGGGCCCCAAACAGTGTGGAAGACCATGCCCGAGACTCACCCAGCCCCTTCTCCGCGCGAGGCGACTCTTTGCATGGACGCTCCACAGAAAAGAGAGCATCGCCGGATACGCGCGATCTGCGCTGCCCTCATCTCCGCCGTGCCTCCCATGGGGCTACGAAAAGAGGCGACAACTGGGCACTTCGTAGCGTCGCAGGGAGCCGCGAGGTCTCGGCTGGATCCGCGTACACCCCCTACTCCGCCGTCCCTCCCAGGAGCCCGACAGTGGCGACTCCCCTTACTCCGCTGTGCCTCATGGAAGTGGCACCAGCTGCGCAGTTCGCAACCACCCAGGGACCAGCGACGTCTTGGTTTGGGTGTGCGTACTCGGCTTCTCCGCCGTGCCTCCCAAGAGCCAACGAACGTGGCGACAATTGCGCAATTCGCAGCCCTCAGGGAGCTGCACGGTCGTGGCTGGGTGCTCGTACTCTGCTACTCCGCCGTACCCCCAGGAGCCCACGAACGTGGCGCCAGTTGCGCAGTTCGCAACCCCCGAGGGAGCAACGACGTCTCGATGTGGGTGCGCGTACTCCGCTATTCCGCCGTGCCTTCCAGGAGCTTACAGGAGCCGACGAAAGAGGCGACACCTGCGCAATTCGTAACCCTCAGGGAGCTGCGAGGTCGCGGCTGGGTGCGCGAACTCTGCTACTCCGCCGTGCATCCCAGGAGTCCACGAAAATGGCGCCAGTTGCGCAGTTCGCAGCCACCCAGGGAGCAACGAAGCCCCGCCAGGGTACTTTCACTCCGCTACTCCGCCGCACCTCCCAAGAGTCTGCGAAACTGGCGACGATTGCGCAGTGCGCAACCACCCAGCGAGGCAGCGACGTCTCGATTGGGGTGCGCGTGCTCCGCTACCCCGCCGTGCCTCCAAGGAGCCCACGAACGTGGCGCCACAGACGCAGCTCGCAACCCGCCCAAGGAATAGCGAAATCTCAGCTGGATCCGCGCACTCTGCTACTCCGCCGTGCCTCCCAGGAATCAGCGAACCTGGCGACGATTGCGCAGCTCGCACCCCCCCAGAGATGCAGCGAGGTCCGGCCGGGGGCCTGCGCACTCCCCGGCCCCGCCGTGCCTCCCACGAGCCCTCGAAAGCGGCGAGAATTGCGCGACTCGCCACGGAGCCCCGCTTGGTTCCGTAAACTCCGCTGCTCCGCCGTGCCCCCAAAGAGCCGACGAAAGTGGCGACACCAGCGCAGTACGCAACCCCCCCAAGGAGCAGCGACATCCTGCCTGGGCCAATTTACTCAGCTGCTCCGCCGTGCCCCCCGGGAGCACACGGAAGCGGCGACAATTGCGCAGTTCGCAACCACCCATGGAGCTGCGATGGCCCGCCTGGGTACATTTACTCGCCTGCCAGGAGCTCACGAAACGGGCGACAGCTGCGCGGTACACACGCACCCAAGGAACAACGACATCCCGCCTGGGTCCGCGAACTCCGCTACCCGAACCTTGCATCCCAGGAACCAACGAAAGTGGCGACATTTGCGCAGTTCGCAACCACCCAGAGAGCTGCGAAGATCCGACTGGATGCGTATACTCCGCTACCCCGCCGTGCCTCCCAATAACCCACGAAATTGGCGACAGCTGCGCAGTTCGCCCCCCCAAAAAACCTGCGATGTGTCGCCTGGGTCCGTGTACCCCGCTACTCCGCCGTGCCTCCCAGGATCCCACGAAAAATCGGCAGCTGCGCAGTTCGCAGCCGTCGAGGGTGCATCACAGGAGGGGGCAGAACAAGAGGGGAGGAGAAGGATGGACAGGAGAGAAGCGGAGGTGGGGCCACAAGTGCTCGATTCGTAAACCCAACACAGGAGGGTTGAGAAAAATGCTTACCAGCGTAGGCTTTATAACATATGTGTCCAGCACTACATATATATTATGTATATATCGGCGTGTAAACGTTTGTGTTTATCTATAGACACATCTACACATAGACGTACATATAACTATATATATATATATATATAGATATCTATATGTATGTGTACACGGCCATATGTGTGCGTTGTGCCAAATGTGTGGGGCAACCTGTGGGGTGCAACCCACAAGTGCTCAACTTGAAATTGCCCACTCCACTGCCCGCGCAAACATCCCACCCACCCACCCGCAACTTGGTTTGCGAACCTCATGCGGCGGCGATTGCGATGAGTGCTGGGAATTGACTGGTGCATCTCCGCGGCCGCGCTAGCCCGCGCATGCGCGCGCGCAGCGGCCAGCTACTGTGGCGCGACCCGCGCAGCCGCGGTGGTGCTGACCGCACATCCCAGCGGGCACTTCAGTGCGAGTCGGAGACTTGGGCGGGCGCGGTGTCATGGCAACGTCGACAACAGTAGACACGGTGATGGCGATAGCGATGTTGGCGACGATGCTGGCAACGACGACGGCGCGGCCAGTGACGGCGCGGATGCTGATCACGCAGACGACGATGACGGCGTCCTCGCGCCGGTCATGAAGATTTTGGAACGAATTCGACATACGCGCGCGGTCGACGCGCGAGTGGCCCGCGTGATATTTGACACGGATCGTGCCTCCCAGAACGCGCGCAAGGACGTGCGAATGATTCGGGCACGCGGCGCCAGAGACCCGTGTGGCTGAATCCGATGAACAGGTTTTTTTGCATAATGAACCGATGGTTTTCTCAAAAAGTCGCAGGAGCGCGGGCGCACGCTTTTTTGAAAACTGATGCTGCGAACCCCTGTTTTTTTCTTATCTGTTTTGGGGACACTCGATTTTGAAATCGCTACGAAACCGAAGGTTCTTGACAGATTTCGGCACGCGCGCGCAACGACGCGCGCGCGTGCACTTCGTCTTTTTCCCAACCATCCTGTGGTGTTGGGTCCTCGTTTTGAAGAGACGGTGCCCCGCGTTCCCGCCTCCTTCCTCCCTCCCTCCTCCCCCCTCCTTCCCTTCCCACACCCATTCTGGCACACCCCTCGCACGTTTCGTGGCCCCATAAGGAGCTCCACCGAAGGCCCCAGTGGCTGCGCTCGCATGCGGTTCCACCCCCCATTCTGGCACACCCCTCACACGTTTCGTGGCCCCATAG